TATCATGGGGAAAAAAAAATGATACATGAAAACACACTCTCACCTTACAGTGAATTTAGATTTTAGGGGGCATGGAAAAATGTCCATTTTTACATCAATGCTTAGTGGTATAAGTGTTTTTTGTGTTATGTTGTATTTTATGTATCTGCTTGCTCCTGATAAGGGTGTTGGACAGAATTGAAGTATATGTAGCTGAAGAGCATGAATCTGCTTAGAAGTAATAGTCCTCTGAGGTAAAGCATTATTGATAAACAGGAGGGAAATGTGAAAGAATTTCTGTGTTATTTTAAATATTATGAATCATTTAAAATCATAATAATTTGTGTGTATGATTAAAGTTATCAACAATTGCGTTTTTGGGTTTTTCCATATGTATATCATATGTCCTAGTACAAGAACTCCTGACTCATTAAGATAATCTGCTGAGTCACCCATGAGACGACAGCTAAGGGTTTTTCCCCTCATGTGGTTAGCATAAGTTTTTGGGAGAAAACTGGCCAAATTGTTTATCACCTGGAGCCTGTAATCAAGTGTGAAATGGGACGGCGGTTTAGACTAAAAGATTGTTAGTATGTGATCATGTAAACACTGTGTGATATGATGTCATGTATTGTACCTTATCTGTGTCATGATTTTGAATAAATGGGTGTTCGGAGAGTTGTGGGGCAGAGTAGGCCAGAGCGTAGCCAGGGGCAGGCAGTCCCCAACTCTCCTTGCGCAAGTATTACTTTTAACCGTCTCGTTTTGGTGTGTCTTATTTAATGTAATTTGATGTCTTAGGGTAAATTCCCTGACACCTACACATACTGAAACTAAAAGAGACAATTTTGAATGAGCCAGTCGAGGCAAACGACGAGGACAGACGGAAGAATGCTGACTGTTACGCTGATCTGGTACGGCTAATTGATGACAAAAGCCTATCGCTAATCAGACATGAGGCTACTGATGATGGCAGAACAGCCCTACAGATACTTAAAGAGCATTATGTGGGCAAAAGCAAGCCAAGGATCATAAATATGTACACAGCCTTAACAAAGCTACGGATGGAAGAAAACGAGACAGTTACAGATTATTTAATAAGAGCAGAGAACATCATTACAGCATTAAGAGAAGCAGGAGAAACCATGAGTGATGGATTAATCGTAGCCATGGTGCTAGGTGGTCTACCAGACGGTTTCAAGCCACTAGCCGTCCATGTGACACAAAATGAAGATAATGTTACGTTTGCAGACTTCAAAAGAAGACTACGTGTTTATGAAGAATCTGAAAAAATGAAAATGACAGAACCAAGTACAGATAACGTGATGTAAGACAGAGCGGAGGCCAAAGCAAACTGAACAGTAACAGAAAAGATGGAGATGGTAACCTTACGTGCTTCAAGTGTGGAATAAAGGGACACAGGGCACGAAAGTGTTACAGAAAAGTGTGGTGCAGTTATTGTAAAAAACACTACACACGCAGAATCACTCTGCAAGAAAAAGGGAGGACAAGATGGTGCCAGAAAAGTTGCAGAAGAGCAAGACGGTGACCAAGATTTCCTCTTCATGGCCAAATACGTCCAAAGTGAAGGACCACCACTCAATGTGAAAATGAAAGGGATTATGGTGGACGCGGGAGCAACTTCCCACATCGTAAACGACATCAACAAGTTCGAAAGCTTCGATGACTCATTCCAACCAGGCACTCACTCCGTGGAGTTAGCAGATGGAAGCAGGTGCAGCGGAATGGCGCAACAGAGAGGAACGGCGGTGGTACATCTTCTAGACAACGCTGGACAGAAACACAAGGCGCAGCTACGGAATGCACTGTACATGCCATCATACCCACACAACATCTTCTCAGTGGCAAAAGCAACAAGCGGAGGGACGACGATCACCTTCAAGAAAGGAGACAGTCACATGGTGACCAAAGGCGGTTGCAGGTTTGATATACATGAGAATGGAAACTTGTATTACTTACCAACTGTCGAGAAAAATATTGATCAATGTAAAGTGAGTCATGATGTACAGACGTGGCATCAAATATTGGGCCACTGTAACTATGAAGATGTGAAAAGTTTGCAAGGTGTTGTAAAGGGTATGGAGATTAAGGGAAGCTCAACTAGGTTGGATCAGTTGTGTGAGGTTTGTGCACAAGGAAAATTCACACAGACAAGAAATAGGGAGCCTGATAGGAAAGCAAAAAGCCCCCTAGAACTAGTCCACACTGACCTAGCCGGCCCTATGCGAACTCCAAGCATGGAAGGACACCGATATGTCCAGTCCTTTACAGATGATTATTCAGGCACTATGTTTGTGTATTTTCTCAAGTCCAAGAGTGACACAATCCAGGCCACAGAAAAGTTCTTAGCAGACACAGCGCCTTATGGAGAAATCAAGTGTATCTGCACAGATAATGGCACTGAATTCATGAGTCAAGGTTTCCAAACAGTGCTAACAAAGAATAGGATTAGACATGAGACGTCTGCGCCGTACTCACCCCACCAAAATGGCACTGCTGAAAGAGGTTGGAGAACACTCTATGATATGAGCAGATGCTTACTGATTGAAAGCGGATTACCAGATAAGTTGTGGAACTACGCTGTTCAGACCTCAGCACATGTGAGAAACAGGTGTTACAGCAGGCGCACAAAGAAAACTGCATACGAGCTATTCACAGGCAATGTACCCAACATATCCAGATTACAAAAATTCGGATCTGTGTGTTTTGCTTACAAGCAAGAGAAAGGCAAAATGGATTCCAGATGTGAGCAAGGTGTTTTCATAGGCTATGATAAAAACAGCCCTGCCTATCTAGTGTACTATCCAGACACAGAGAGGGTCCAAAAGCATAGGTTGGTAAAATTCACCACTAAGACAACCAAGGAAAAGGAAACACAAACTACTGGGTCACACACAGATTATGGGGGTGTACATTCTGGGGATGACAACACTGAAGAGAGGGTTGTTGAAAAACTTGAAAATGTACCAGGACAGGGTATTCAAATTGGTGTTACTGAGACTTTACCTGAAAAGACAGAGTGCACACGGCCAGGTGAAGTTACAGAGACAGTGAACAGAAGGAACCCACCTAGAACTAAAAGGAAACCAACTCACCTACAGGACTTTGAGACAGAAAATATGGAAGACACACTAAACTCATGCATGGATTTTTGCTACAGAGCAGTGTGTGATGTACCTCAAACTTATCAGGATGCTATTGCGTCAACCAAAGCAAAGCAGTGGAGGAACGCCATGAAAGAGGAGTTGCAATCTCTGGAGGAAAATGAAGCCTTCACCCTCACTCAGTTGCCACCGGGCAAACAGACAGTGGGGGGTAGATGGGTTTATGCACTAAAAACAGAAATTGACGGGTCTGATAAATACAAGGCAAGGTTCGTAGCAAAAGGCTACAGTCAGAAACCAGGTACTGATTACGAAGAGACATTTTCACCCACAGCTGATATGACAAGTGTGAGAGTTGTCATGCAAAAAGGCTGTCGAGGATAACCTAGTCTTACACCAGATGGATGTTAAGACAGCTTATTTGCATGCACCAATTGATTGTGAAATTTACATGGAACAACCTGAAGGTTATGAGAGAAAATCAAAAACGGGTCATAAACTAGTGTGTAAACTACAGAAATCTATCTATGGATTAAAACAGTCTGGGAGAAATTGGAATGCTATGTTGCATGCATGTTTGACTGAGAATGATTTTGTGCAGAACACAGCTGATACATGTGTGTACACAAGGGAAAAGCACAATGAAAAAATAATACTAATAATATGGGTGGATGATCTGATCATAGCAGCTAACAATGAGAGTGTATTAAAAAATGTAAAGAACATGCTTACTGAAAGGTTCAAAATGAAAGACATGGGAAAACTCAGACATTTCTTGGGGATAGAATTTGAACAAACAGATGGTGTAGTGAAAATGTCACAGGAGAGAAGTGTGAGGAAGATTTTAGATCGATTTGAAATGCAGGATTGCAAGCCTAGAGAAACTCCATGTGAACCAAAACTTGTGTACAGAGAAAACGCTGAAAAAATGCAAGAGTCAAGAAAGTACAGGGAGGCAGTGGGAAGTTTAATTTACTTGTCCACTTGCACTCGACCAGACCTAAGTTTTGTGGTCAGTAAACTCTCGCAGCATTTTGCTGAACCAACTGTTGAACACTGGAACACAGTTAAACATGTGTTCAGGTACCTTAAGGGTACAACAGAACAGGGGTTGTACTTCAGGAGAAATAACACAGGAAAACTAGGCCTAAGGGTCTACAGTGATGCTGACTGGGCATCAGATTCAGCGGATAGACGAAGTACATCAGGGTATTGTGCCAGTCTAAATGAGAGTAGCTCTCTGATATCATGGAAAACAAGAAAACAGCCAACAGTTGCTTTATCAACCTGTGAGGCAGAGTACATCGCCTTAGCATCAGCCATACAAGAATGCATTTATTTAGAGCAGCTGCTCAGGGGTATAGACTCCTATCAATATGCACAAAGGTGTATGAAGACAACCAAGGTGCCATAGCACTAGCCAAAAATCCAGTCAACAGGCAGTGGTGTAAGCATATTGATATAAAATATCATTTTATTCGGGAAAATATAAACAATGGGAGGTTTATTTTGGAGTACTGTGCTACTGAGCAAATGATTGCTGATATACTGACAAAGCCAGCTACTAAGCTCAAGTTAAGAAAGTTTTCAAGGGAAATGTTTGGTGTTTAAATGTGTTACTTTAAGACAATATAAGTCTCATTCTGTTATTTTGTTTTCTCCATGTAGCTAGTGACATAAGAGCGAGTGGGGGTGTTGAATGTAGTTGTGGAATAACGCTCTTATTAATGTTGTATTAAATTGAATGGTTTGATTGGTTCAGCTTCCTTGAGGTGACGTGTGACGTATGCACGCATTTTTGTTAAAACATATATATGATTAAAGAAAGAACTGTAGTGTGATAATAAAAGGTTGAACTGAGAAATACACGCCCCGCTTTCTTTTCACCACGTTAAGTCTGCGCGAGTCAGATACCCTTAACAGAAGCCTTCACAAGAAGCAAAAGCCGAGACTCAAGCGGACTGTAAAGAAGACAGCTCTAAAGAGCAGCCAGCAGAACAGAACAGAAGAGACGCGGCGAACGCGGAGGGCGCGCACTTCCCGATGCCCGCTCATCCCAAAGTGGAAATAAAGCGCAACGCGGTCACGGACGATTACACTTTGTCCACTCATGTCCTGGGCCTGGGCATCAACGGGAAGGTCCTGGAGTGTTACAACAAGAAAACAGGACAGAAGTGCGCACTGAAAGTAAGGCACTTCACAAATCATTTTACTTTCTTTAACAACGAAAAGACTCAAGAATTCTTGCGTCTTGAGGGCTATCCTGTTGCGTTCAAGTCTTTTGTTTCTGATCTTTACTTATTTGGAGTCAGGCAGTGTCTGAGTGGTAGTACACATTACAGCCTATGTTATTTGTTTTCTTTTATTAGATTTAGCGCACTGGAAACAAGATCATGATATTAGCCTTTCCTAAATTTAGACAAACTTCAACATTACTACTAATATCCTATTTCACAAATTACACAGTAAGAGTAGTTCTTATTAATAAATAGCAAAAAATAACAATTGTGTCAAATAACCACCACATAAATATATGCCATTGTGTGACTGTTTTATTTCCTTTAATGCAAACTGAAAACTTTCAAATTCACGGAGACTATCTTTAATCCGAAAAAGAGCTGTGTAGCTTTCACAGGCACAATCAATTCTGGAACAGTATTAGTTTGATTGCTCACTGAAGTCTGCATGATGTCAGTATGTTGCTATAGCTTTTGTACACAGACTGTTCACGCCCCCCACTGAGCTCATGCGCTCTACATGTGTTGTACATGAGGCCAGGAGCATGGCCCAAGCTTGAATCAGAAGTGTGTCACCATTGTTCCATATGCTGTCACTTTTACTGAACTTCACTGGACTCTTAGGCACTTAGCATCGAGTCTGCACCAAGCTCATCTGACACCACTGGTCTGCCTGACTTAGATTTAGTGGTTTACAATAATCTATCTGCCAGAGCGGACAGCAGCAGGCTTACAAATGGACCAACTGCACCAGAGATGTAGACTGAAACTAAAGACAGAGGAAACTTCACAAAAGTTGAAAAATGACTCAAGTAACATTATCTCAGCCACTCCTCCCACCTTAAAATGAACACTGGAAGCGGAAAGCTGGTGTGAAAACCGAATGTTCGCCTTTCACATTTTACAAAGTCTTTTTTCCCCAATACTAGCCATACAGCCCACTGGTTTGATATCTCTTCATTCTGTATGGATTTTCAGTCATAAAATATTAGACCAACTATAATCTAATATTCATATTCAGAGTCTGTAAACTGGTCTTTTAAGGTCACACAGCTACTTATAAACATTTGAACTGGGATAACTTTACCTGTTGAGAGCTTCTAGCAGAAAGAAAATCAAGCAAATTGAAAACTACAAAAAAATCACTTGAGGTGTACTTTTATTCTTGGATTTTGGGATCAATAGACATAGATAATGGCACCAAGACTTTGATGTGGACCAGACTGAGCACAGTGGTCTGACACAGTTGAATTAAGTGTTTCTCTAAGCGGCTAATGTAAGCGAGGCGTATGGCTTTAATTCACTTTGCAGAAAAGCTGGAAGGGAGCCATGCTTGAATGTAATTCACTTACTCTCACCAGGCTTCTTTAACTGGGATTTGTGTTACTCCTGAGAGACACACTTCATTCACTCTTTGTATGCTCCAAAACAGTATTAATGATCAGTGAGAGTTAAAAAGTGTTATATTTCAAAAAGCTATCTGTGTTTAGGAGATGGAAACATTGCTGCTTCTCTCCCTCTATAGAAAATACATACATAATTAACTAATAACTGAAGATGAAGTTCAGACTGGCAGTTCATGACTTAATTATTGATATTTGTAAACAATCACACAAGTGAAGTGACAGATGAGATGGGGAGTAACATTTTGAGTTTTCTGTTTGTTAGGTAATTACAAATGTAAATATCAGTATAAAATATTCATGTGTCTTGCTGCTACCAGTATTATGGCAGCCAACCATAATATGATCAACAAAAAGGTATGACCATTCACTTGCAGTGCCAGTGTGTTACAAAGAATCATTTCAAATAGGAGTTACCGGACCACTCTGTCTGATTGTGATGCAATTTAGACTGTATTAAAGTGCTATTTAATATGAATATGTTGTGTATGTAGTTATTATACATTTGACTGAGCATTACATCTTTATACGTAATGTTTACTTTTAGAGAATAAAGATTTCTGAGTCTCCAGTGTATTAAATGTTATGTGCTGTTGAGTGTAGCGATGGACAAAGCTTCATATCTAATGCCCAAGCTTAACACAGGAAGGGCTTCTCCAACTACAACAGTGCTAATCTCACATCCACAGTCCTACATGACTCTTATGTGTCTGTGGTCAATGAGCACTCATTTATGGGATAATATAGATTAGAACTCATTCAGACTCAGCACAGCCAACAGAATTCATCACATTTACTGGCCTCATTTAATTGTGGAAACACAGAGCAACTCATGTTTGTGTGACCTTTAAACAAAACCCAAATTATATTGAATTCTTTGGGCCTAACGTGAATGGTTCATAAGGTTAAAGACTGTAGTGAGTGTTGCTCATTAACCTTTATTGCTCATGTGGTTGCATTGTTGTAGTCTTAGTCCCTATTCAAAGTTGTATGACATAATCTGATCATTGCACTGTCAATATATAAGGGAAATCTTCATGTGTGGAATCATTTTGATCTATTTTGTGTATATGTATGGTTGCATAATAATATAACGTGTTTGGTTGTAGTTCAGTTGTTTTAAATGTTAATATAATAGGCAGCAAAATTACTTCTTCTGTTGTAAGTGGTAAGACTGACTTGATAAAAAAAATACCTGTATCCTGAAATGCTATTTTATTGTAGTACTATAAAATATTAGTGGACCTATCTAATGGGAACATAATTAAACAAACAAAATAAATTGTAATTTTGTTTTGGTACCACCATAAATCCCAATAAAACCTATACTGCCACTGTACATTATTTTAACAAAATCACAAGACAAGACAGTGCAACCATGAGGCATAATAATAATAATAGCAGTAACATATACAGGCACATAGAGGTAAGATCTTAAGACCGAGCCCAAGCCCGACGGGTCGGGTCGGGTCTAAAATGTCAATCATTACTTCGGGTCGGGTCGGGCTCGGGCTTCAAATAAATATATGTTTATAAAATGTATGCTAAAACGATGTGAGGATACTAAACTAAGGAATACTTGTTATAAAATAAATAATATGGATAAAACAGAGAAGTAATGTAATGTAATTGCTATTTAACTACTAAACAGGATCCGCAGAGCCAGAGCTCTGCGCACGTGAACACCCCCTCTTCATTTAATCATCTTCCCCTCCGCAAGTCTGCATCTATTTTGACCTGGTGTCCCCAATATGGAGGAGCAAGAAGTTAAACTAAAGGCAGGAGAACTGAAAAGACAAACACGCACCGGTAAGAGTGAGGTGTGGAAAAGCTTCAAATTGATTGTTGAAAATGCTACAGAAACTTGCGTTGGCTTCGCTGAATGTCGTCAATGTGGCGCTTTGCTTTCATACGAGAGCAAAAAGACTGGCACCTCGACGCTGAGCACTGCTCCTCCTCCCGAGTCCTCACAAATAAAATATGACATTTCGGGTTTGCTTCGGGCTCGGGCCTGCAAATCAAGTTAATTGGTCGGGCTCGGGCCGGGTCGGGTTTTAATACCCGCGGGCCGGGTCGGGTCGGGCTGGATTTTTTAGGCCCGATCTCACCTCTACAGGCACATGAGTGCAGCCAGGAAATATACTTTATGTCATCTTACTTAAATTGAATTGCTGCACAAACTGCCGGGTCAGGGTGGGTTTGGTAGGGACAGAATGGGCTGTCATATTGGTTTTTACTTTATGTAACAAAATATTATTGTTATTAAAACAGCAATACACCTCTGGCATTGCATTGTATTTTTTATTATTTCAACTCTAGATAGATACACATTTCAAAGAATTTCTTTGACATGGATCAACACATTCATCACTAACGTCATCACATATCACAATTGTGACAGTTCAGTGAGGCTAAGGCTCTATTGCATTGGAATTGCTGTTTCTTCTATGTTGAATCTAATCATATTTACTTTCATTTTGTTACGGTGCAAGGCGTATTTTTAATGATCTAACTTGTAAACAAACAATTCTATCTTTAAGATAGGGTTTTGGAGCTAGATGTTAGGGTTCCAAAATATTTATGTATGTTGGCGTGTTAAATGGAAAGAAAATCTTGAAGATTTCAGCGGCAGTTTTTTTAATGGATAATATTAATTTGTAGTTTCATGGACAGACAGAAGGGGGAGGTGGTAGTGATGTCATTGTTATGCGCCTTGAGACATGCGCCCTGATCGGAGTCCAAAAAAGATAGTCGCGTCGGACGCCGGGAACTTAAATTAGTTTCATTAAGGACTTGTGTAAAACAAACTTACTGAAGTAAACGTTGAAAACAAATCGACAGCTACAGACATGTCGTACTGTAGGCAAAAAGGTAAGGCTTAATTACTTTTAAATCATTTATTTCGTGACATTATGTATGGCAATGTCATGTAGCATAGCAGCCATCATGCCAAATACAGGTTGTAGGTCTTTGAGTGATTGAATCACAAGTTACGAGAATTTTTATTTTGTAGTTTTTTTTGTTTGTTTGTTTGTTTGTTTTTTTGTTTTGTTTTTGTTGTTTTGATCATAATAGTGGCCACATGTTATGACCGTGGATCTATAATATAGTTACAACAGGTTATCTGAGGAGAGAGTTGAATGTAAGTGCGCCCTCAAGCGTTTATCCACTAGCAGGCTACTGGTAAAAACAATGCTGCATTTTTGTTGCATGGAAGGCAAAGACCGCATCATTTTTTGTGACCAAGGAAGAGCATGAGTCACCAAGTAATGCTGAACTGGTTGCTGATGACCCCAACGATCCTTACGAAGAACAAGGTACATTTCAAAACATTACTTGTGTTTGTACTATTTCAGCTCTTACTGTAAATGTTTTGTTGCCATTTTTCTCTAGGCCTTATTCTGCCCAATGGGGACATCAACTGGAACTGCCCTTGTCTGGGTGGGATGGCCAGTGGACCTTGTGGCTCCCAGTTCAAAGAAGCCTTTTCATGCTTCCATTACAGTAAAGAAGAAGTGAAGGGATCTGAATGCATTGACCACTTTCGTAACATGCAGGAGTGTATGAAGAAGTATCCTGAGCTTTATCCCCAGGAGGAAGAGAAAGAAACACCACCTCAAACTGTAGATGTCCCTGATCAGGAGTCCTACCTGAACTCTTCAGCTTCTGATACTGGCCTTGTAACTGACAGCTCTTTGCCAACAGACAGTCAGAGGGCTACATAAGGTTACTGAAACTTTGTACTCTCTGGCTACACTTCTTTAGGGATGGCTTGCTGGCTTGCTGACAGTTCTTGAGACTTGACAATGAAAATATTTCCCATGGCCATCAACGGACTTTATTGAGAATGTAATAATTACTGTATTTTATCTTGATGAGCACTTGCATCAAGAATAAGTAATTTAATTGCACTGAGTCAATATACAGTACATGTTTTTGTAATGGGGGCTATTTTATTTGAAATAATTCATTTATTGTTTTATAACTGTAGACATGTATATCATTTTATAAAACTTTAAAGAAGACATATTTTCTTGGATATTTAGTATTAAACCATTATATATGTAGATCATGCGTTTACATTTTGTTCATTGTAAACCGCAATATTGTTCTACACATGCTGCAACTGTTTGAGAGACCAACACAATTTCTTGACAAGATATGTTTTGTTTGATATGTTGTTTTGAATTATGCTTTGTTTTAACATGACAATCTGCTGCTATACTGTTGGAACTTTTGCTCCTTTTCTAAATTGTGGTCACCTAGCATGCCTTATAATGCTTTTTTAAAATTCCAAGATGTTAAATATGAACAATATGAACAAACAGAGTAACCAAAGGAACTAAACATTTAATGTAATTGTGGTTTCAGAATCTTTATTATAATATTGTTACAGTAAACTCATTTCTGGACGTTATACTGTAACAAAGGTACTTTATCACACTTAACAGTAAAACAAAGTGTGCATGGCAATAGTCTATTTTTCACACAGTTTATGTGAAATCTATTTTTCTGAGGTGCTGACACACATCTACTGTTGTCACAATGAGTATGCTCAGAAAATAGACCTACAAACAACTCAATAGTGTGTCCTCTGAGGAACTTTGGGAAGTCTCAGGATTATCATTCAGTAAGTAGTAGAGCAATATACATTAACCTAAAAACCTGTGAAAGACTGGCCCTTTGCATCAAGATGTAACATAAATACTAGGATCTGTGAAACACATTTATAACTGCTGCCTACATGCATCTGAAGACTGCCTTCATTTATTTTATGGAGGAGGGGAAACAGCTCCCATGTGTTGAGGCCAAAAATGTATTGCATCTGTACCGTGAGGGACAACCATTCAGAATGAATGAATGAAGAAATCCATGCAAACTCATGTTTCTCCAGTCCAGGCGGGAGTTGAACTCAGGGCAGTTGTAAAGAAGACGCAGTACAATAACAGATTGTCCTGTAAATAGAAACACAATGGCATTGGTATCATCATTTGGGTTAAATTGTAAAAAAAAAAAAATTACATTCTCTGAGTTTTCTTGTCACCTTTTGTTTTTTAAGGAGGCAGTGCAAAATAGTGAAGAACACATGTAAGAGGAAAGCATCCACACAGAAGATTGTGAAGAAAAGTGATACATTATGCCTATTAACATCATCAGCTGAGGATTCTGAGAGAAGACAGCTGTTAGGCATTTTTTCCTCAACCCACGTCTATTCACTTTAGACTCAGAAGGTGCCACTGACTCAGATGCTGCTTTCTTCAGAAGTTCAAGATTTTTTAAAAGCTTCAGTCTACTGCTTAATGATAGCAAATACAAGTAGCCTTCAGCCTTAAATGATGAGAAACACTGAGGGTAATTATTTAAGTACTACTCACGATTTTCTAGTATTTTTGCTGGGCTTGTTTCCTCTCCATAACTGGTCTTTTCCCGAAACAATATCATAAACATAAAACATCAGCGGAGGAGATCGGGTCAACGACTGGGGCGTATATATATTTATACTCCGCTAATGACACTGAATCAGTCCCGGTCTAGTCCTGGTCGAATACCGGTCTAGTCCTGGTCTTATCACGGTCTAGTCCCGGTCTAGTCTCGGTCTACTCCCGGTCTAGTCCTTGTTTAGTCCCGGTCTAGTCCTTGTTTAGTCCCGGTCGAGTTCTGGTTTAGTCCTGGTCCAGTCCTGGTGTAGTCCTCGCGATCGGCTCGGTGATTGTGGCGTATATATTTATGCTCCGCTCATGTTGGTGGTTCTCGTTCTGGTTCTCGGGTCTTGCTTCCTGATAATAACGTCGCAGTGTCACTGGATACTCGTCCCTGATTGGTTGACGCGGCGCGTCTGACGCGAAAAGTTCAGCATTTTCAACTTCTTGACGCTGACGCTTTGGACGCGCGTCTTGGCCGCTGACGCCAAAACGCTCAAGACGCGCCGCGTCGACGCCAGATTCGCGCCGCGCTGACGCCGAAAACGCGCCGCAAAAACGCAGGACGCTCTAGTCGCGCGTCCACATAGACTTTACATAGAAAGTGGACGCTTTCACGCTTTGGTCTGAACGGGCCTTTAGCGTCTCCATGGCAGCCGCACTAGCGCAGTGTTTGGAAACTGAGATTTTGTTTCGGTCGAAGAAAAGTATTCAACTTTGAAGATAGCTAGTTGATGAACTAATTAAGCGAAGGTAAGGGGGGACTTGAAAAAAGATCTAAGTTATTTACGTTAGTTACGTTGTTCTATCAAGTTTGACAATAAATAATTACTAATGCTAACTTGAACTAACAAATGGTTATCGCCACTTTAGCGTGTTTAAATACAGCGCTAATATTTTGTACGTTCACTCTTTGTTGACTTTTTGTCCAATAGATGGCAATGGGACCAGAACCTCCCAAAAGTTCCTCTAAGCTCAGATATCCTATATTTGAACAGACTGGCCTGTATACTACAAGCATATCCCCGTTTGTATTTCAGGTAAAGCTCTGGCATTTTATTATTCTTGTTGTATCGTTGATGATAACGTCTGTACTTCTGTTTTCAGGATGAAGGTCAGTCAATCAATACAATAAAAGGTGCAAAACATGAATTACATACGTGACTTGCCTACATTGTACTGGTACTCTTGTTGAGTTAACTCTGAAAATGGTTTGTCTCTAGGGAGTAAATCAAAAAAGGTTAATGACAAATCCACATCCCAGCAAGCAAAGACCTCTTACTTCTGCTCTGGTGGAGACCTGCCCAAAGTTCAGCTTCCATACCAAACTTTTTCTGGAAAAATCCCAAGGAAATTAGAGATAGAAAGGTTTGTCTTTGGCATTATTAATACTTTGCAGTGACATGTTGTTAGGGGTGTTCTACATGTATCTGTACTGATGGAATGTTAAGAGGTTACCATGGTGATACAATGCACACTTTAGCAAACTCTGCTCTCCTATTGTAGTTTTAGCTAAATCATTTCCTTATTGTCAGACTGTGTTAAAGTACTGCTCAGATTAAAGCCTAACAAGCCTCTGTTAGAGCAATGCTTACAGTTTACATCACACCCCCAGGGAATGTTGATGACATCAGCTATGAAGTATTAATATTGCATTATTCCTCCCAACCTCAGTGATTTTAAATATTGTCCATTATCTTTAATTGTTTATGTCGACATACTAATAAAATGAAATAGAGGTGGGTGATTGTGACAAAAATGACTATCTACATCTTTCACGGTAAGGTAAGACAGGCTTAACAACAGTTGTTCTCTTGGTTTATGTATTTTAATTAATAGACTCAGGAGGGAGTACTCACAGTTAAACCTTGAAGATCTGCTGGAAGCAAATGGCATCGACACTAACAGTCTTTTGCCAAAGTATCAGGGCAGTAGCAATGACTCCTGTGTGTCACCCTATCTTCCACTGGAGGTAAGTTTTAACCTCCAACATTTAGCATACAGTAAATAGAGAAAATTTGTATTGGTGCTATTGTATCTTTTTTCTTAGATATTTGACAATGAAGATTTTGACTGTCGGACCCCAGAAGACTGGCTTTCTCTGGGTATTACTGAAGGATCAAGTGATCGAAAGCCTATTCCAGCCAAAGCCCTCCTGCCAGCTGAAGTCAAAATTGCATTTGGTATGTAATGTTTTTTTATACCACTGTTTATTAAAAATGTTATTTAAGGACACTTACCTGTTTTATTACAGATTCAGGTCCCCTTACCCAGGAACACATCTGGCATTTGGTTGGGGTTCTTGACTACAATAAGGAAACATCTTTGTACCTTGTTGAAAAGGTTCATCTAAAAGAATTAAGTGGAAATTCTAGCCTTAGTGAACAACAAAAGAAGACACCACTGACTGGTACATTTCATGACTTGATATATGTACTATATGTTTTTATATGTTTTACTGTGTTCTGTTTCTTCTGATCTCTTTTGTTTCTCTTTCTTGTTTACGGACTGCACAGGGGAAAAGCCATACGTTACAGGAAGTAGATACTGGGTACCTAGAATTCGACTGTTATTCAAAGCAGAGGATCCACGCATCTTTGTGCAGCGCATCAAGAATGCTCTGCATTTAAGGGACAACGCAGAAGCGCTTGTGCTTTATAATCTATCTGTTGACTGCATGCCCATTTGTGAAGGAACATCGCTTGATAGCAGCTGTCTCCAGAGGATCAAAAAAAAAAGCTCTCACAACTCCTAATCTCAGACAGAAACGGTAAGTCACAGCACATAATTTGGATGTGATTCATATGTGAATGTGCTTTAGTGTTGTAATGAGAGATATGTTTTGTAATGGATATTTAATGTGTTCAGTTTGGATGACTATGTAAAGCACCTGGAGGAGGAGATATGCCTAGACTATAGCAGGACTATGAACAAAATTATATTTGACAATGTAGTAATGAGTCAATCAGGGCAGCTGTTTTCACAAATTATTATTCCAAAGAAAGAACAACCACTGGTTCCTAAAAAAGGTGCATCATCACTCTTTGATATTTGTGATTCTATACCGACTATGTGATAAAATTATTATTTTTTCTTTACTTTCTTAGAGATTTTTCCAGCTCCTCTTTTTTCTTATAAGGAAACATGTGCCAAGATTGCCTTCTGCTCCCTACTCACACAACCAAAGGTGCTGTTTCTATTATCTAAAATATGGTGTGAGTGTGACAAAGTGGCAAACATGCAGCTGTTTAATATTTCCGAGAGGGAATCACTTCGACTAAAAGACTTTGAAACCTCACAATCGCATTTGCACATTCAGGTATGATGACAATATCGGTACAGTTGGTGTAGAACCAAGAAAGTACTTTGCAACAGTTATGAAACTATGCCAAGACAAGTATCACAAATAATTTCTTCATTCACAGGTGAACTCTTATCTTCGACAAACATGGATATCAACAGTGAGCAATGCCATTCGGTCTCCCTTATTAGAGATCGGGAAAGGCACTTACAATGTGAATCAGTCCTCTTGGGAAATGTATAAGATGTCCAAGTTGATGAAATTGATGAATGTGGTGCGCTACAAAATGCAAGATGCCCTGCGCTATCTTGTGCAAAACTCTTTGGCCAGTCTTACTCAACAAATTATGGATGCCTGTTATAGTACTCTGACTTGTTGTGAAGATCTGGTCTGGGGAGAAGACCTCATTACTAGCCCTTACAAGTAGGCAGATGATCAATATGCCTATATTTGTAGTCATACAGCAATGTTCATTATGAATTTATTGTATTAAGAATTTTGTGCACATATTTGTGCATGCTATAATTATTTAGTTTTCAATTTCTTCCCTAGATCAAAGAAACACACCTTGTTCCTACTGGACTTGGTTCTGGACCAGACTGGAGTTCATTATAGCACTCCTCTTGAGAGTTTTCCCTCATCAATTGTAAAGCTGTTTGATAAAGGCATTGTGGCAGCACAGAATGTTCCACAAGTTGAAAGGGTATGAATGAAGTTGAGAATAAGCCATACCAGGATGTATCTTAATTTCATGATATAGTGTAGTTTCCAACTAGTCTCACTAGTTTTGATTTCTTTTGTCTTTTGTGTGACAGTTGGTGATGAAAAATCTCTTCTTTGGGGAAGATAGTTTACTTGAGTCTGTGAATATGCGGGAACCTGAAGTAATCAAGCAACGAAGGGAGATACAAGTGGCTCTTTCGCAGGCGGCCATTCCTTTGAGAGCCTATGCAGCCGAATACGTCAAATATTTGGAACTATATAACCAAGACATTGAAACACTGCTTAAGTAAGTGTATGGTAATGTTAATTAACATTTACCACTAAAAGTTGAATGTTTTGTCTATATTTTGAATTCAGATCTAGTACACAGACAGAGTTGACATCCCAAGTGGTGAAAAAAGAAGTGGAACAACATTTGAAAGAAAAAGAGAGACTTGAACAAACACTACCCCTCTTTATCAACATTGGCCCATTCACTGTCCAGGTAGAGACTGTTCGACTCGCATTGTGCAATAAAAGAAAAGCTTTGGCTAAGTCATTGCAGGACCAGTTTGCTCAAAGACTTCGTAAGCAGATTGACGATGTACGTGGGTTTTATTTCTAAAATACTATGAATATATAGACTATGTCCATTCTGAATTGCACTCTTTCTAGGCTTGTGACGAGTGCATGATCATAGACAGAAAACTTTGTGAAAAACCAAATACAGTTGAGGAACTATCTGAAAAGAGAGAGTGGATGAAGCAAATTCCTGAACAGCTAAGAGTTTATAAAGTACTTAAATGCGTAACATATACATTCATATGTTTTAGAGGTAAAAACTTGCTGTAATGGTTATCTCTTTAAACAGGAGCGACTTAAAAAGACACTTGCAGAATATGATGTCTTGGAAGATTTCTTTTACCTTATACCAAAGGATGATTTCAGTAAGAAGTGAGAAAAATGTTTTTACCCCTTCAACCACGGTCTGCAATTAACATAATTTTCCCAACAATAAAAACCATTAAATGTGTATACAGGTGGGCTGCTATTGGATGGCCTCAAAAGATTTTCAGACAGATAGAAAAAACAACTGTAAAACACAAGGAGGATGAGGAACGTTTCCACAAAATTCAACAAAGTGAACAGAACAACTTTGAGGAACAGATTGACTCTTTACAAGTATGTTAGACAAGACAAATTATAATTTTTTAGAATTATTAGATTTTTTCACTCTCCCAAACTATGCTTCTTAAACTGCTATACATTAGTCCAGTAACTGATATTTTCTGTGAATGCAGATGCTGGTTGCTGGTTTTGCAGGTTTTGCAGACATGAACCATGCACATGAGTTGGCCAGTAAGGTGAAACGTACAAAGAAGGACCTGGAGGACTGTCAGGCTATGGCCCAAATCTACAACAGGAGAGAACGTCTGCTTCAGCTGCCTTTGACAAATGTAAGGACAATTTATTTACACATTTTCAAAACCTAAGTTGTTGCTGGGGAAGAAGATGTTAAATAATGTATGCAAGAAAGTTTATCAGCCTGTCAAGGAAAACATTACAACTCACCCTTCTATTTTCTTTCATCATATTTCTCTTTTAACCAAGCACTTGTGTCTTCTAGTATGATCGTCTGCATAATTTAGTTGGGGAATTTCAGCCTTATGAGGACCTATGGACAACCACCTCCAACTGGTTACACTGGCATGAGAGCTGGCTCAATGACCCACTGTCGTCTATTGACTCTGAACAGCTTGAGAGCAATGTCACAGAGGCTTACAAGATCATGCAGAAATGTGTCAAACAGTTTAAAGATAATCCAGGCAAGAACGTGAAAGGAAATGCCAAAATGAATATGAAAGCAGATATGAAATTTTCTTTCTTCTGTGCAACAGGATGTCATATGGTGGCAGCTTTTATTCAGAGAAAAATTGAGGAATTCCGGCCTTACATTCCACTAATTCAAGGACTTAACAACCCTGGAATGAGAAGTCGCCACTGGGAGATGCTTTCAGAGCATATTCACATGAAGATGCAATTCCAAGCCAATCTGACTTTCTCACGCTGCCTTGAGCTTGGTTTGCAAAACTATGGAGCTGAAATAGCACAGGTGGCTGAGGTGGCAGGAAAGGAATACACCATTGAACAGGTACATACTGTAGTTTTTAGAAACAACATGAGTAATACATTGTTTTGATAATCTCACATTTAACCCTTCCAGACTCCCCCTTTTATCCCCTAATGAAGTGCTATACATCCTTTTTTCGGTACAACCTGTTCTTTCACAATCTGAATGCTGTAGTTGTGTCATATGGCTGTAATAAAAGCTATAGAACTAGAAATACAAAGGGGAAAAAAAAGGAAAATGATATTCACACTCCTTTATTCAAAACACACAGCAAACATGTATAAACAACTTTTTAGACATAATAAATATACTTAGTTTAGGGTCTTAGCTACAAAAGTGCAAAATATCAAGTTTGTAGGTATTCTAAAAATGTCATTTTTGCCCTCAAAACCAAAAAAAGTGCACTCGTCCAAGTCCTTCCCTAGTGCCAATCATGGAAGCAGTTCCTATCAGGCACCAGGCATAGTGCCACATCACAGGCCTTGCATTTCCATGCAGTACACTGCCTCTTCCCCCGTGTTTGTCAGCAGTGCACACATGACAGCCTCCCATATGATCCTTGCCTGCTGCGGTCTTCCTGGTGTGGTGGTTAGTAAGTGTAGTGATCGAGATGAAGTACTGAGGAGTGGAGATCTGGATCTTCCATGCCCTCCATCCCTGCCCCTCCTTCTGCTCTCAGAGGAGATCATAGGTGTTGAAGGTGTTGATGGTTCTGGACGGGTGGTTGGGGTTGTAGACACTGATGAAGCTGGGGAGACACCTGAAGTGAATGGCACAGGGGAATCTGGAGGAGCCTGAGGAACATCCTCTGACTCAGCACTAAACAAAAGTCTCTATCTTTTATGATAAAAAGTTATGCGCGGTTATGTAAAACACTGGAAGGGTTAAAGGATTTCATTCTAACTGTTATTTAATAACTTTTTTCAAACACAACAATTCATTCTTGCTCTCATTCTTTTTAGGCACTTAATAAAATGAAAGCTGAATGGTCAGCTTTAGTCGTTGATGTGCTGCCATACAAGAACACTGGAACCTACATTCTCAAAAGTCCAGAGGAAGCTTCCCAATTGCTAGATGACCACATTGTCATGACCCAGAGCATGTCACTCTCACCATTTAAAAAATACTTTGAAAGTCGCATAGCCAACTGGGAGAGTAAACTGAAAATGACTCAAGTACAACTATAGATCACATTGTACATCAAATCTAACTGCATTGCCACCTCTGTTTCTAATTGTGCGGTGCTACCCTCTTCTGGTCTTTGTAGGATGTGCTAGAGGAATGGCTGACATGCCAGCGTTCTTTGCTTTACCTTGAGCCCATTTTCAGCTCCCCAGATATTAACCAACAACTGCCCAATGAAGCAGGGCAATACCAACAAATGGAAAAAATGTGGACAACAGTGATGAGAAAAGCTAACAATAATCGCAAGGTTATAACTCATATCTGTTTTACAAATTCAGAATGAACTACAGCGTCAATTTTGACTCCTAGACAATACACACAATGTACACTCAGATTACTGGTATGTTTTGTAGATAATTGAGTTGTGTCCAGATGCCCGTTTATTGTCTACTCTGAAGACGTCCAACTCACTCTTAGAACAAGTACAGAAAGGTCTCAGTGAGTACTTGGAGACAAAGAGACGTTCTTTTCCAAGGTATCTGCCTTTTTCTTGTAACCTTTATTTTATACTGTGTCAAAGTGAACTGTGTGCCCAATTGTTCCACATAATATTTTATTATGTATTACTAAAGTAATTTTTTTTTCAGGTTTTACTTCCTATCAGACGATGAGTTGCTTGAAATTTTGTCCCAGACCAAAGATCCCACAGCTGTTCAGCCACATTTACGCAAATGCTTTGAGAACATTGCACGGGTTCGATGATTGAACTTTTTGATAACAATTTTACTATAAAGCTTGAGAAAAATATCCCATCAATTTTTGTATTTTTCCAGCTAAAATTTCAGCCTGACTTACAAATCACTGACATGTACTCTGGAGAAGGAGAGGAAGTGAAGCTTTTCCAGTCTGTACAGCCTACTGGTGATGTGGAAGACTGGCTCAGAAATGTAGAGAAGTCAATGAAAGCTACAGTAAAAGATAATATTGACCGATCATTAAAAGTCTACTATGAGGTTTGTCACACTATTTGTAGAAAAGTAATACGACTGTTGTTGACATGGTTTGTATAAAAACACTTTTTGTAATTTTAGCAACCTCGGGAGAAGTGGGTTTTGTCATGGCCTGGTCAGGTGGTGATTGCTGGATGCCAAGTATTCTGGACTGCCGAGGTATCGGAAGCTATAGAGAAAGGAGACTTGGCTAATCATCTTTATCCTCAACTGCAAACACAGGTGTGTAATAGTAGCATATGCAATATTCTGATGACACTTCATTACTTCATTGACAGTCTCTCTTTATAGTTGGGTAACTTAGTCAAACTGGTCAGAGGAAATTTGTCCAGAATGCAAAGGGCTGTTCTGTCTGCCCTCATTGTCATAGAAGTCCATGCAAAAGATGTTGCTGCTGAACTGGTCCAGCAAAAGCTTTCAAATATTAATGACTTTGAATGGATCAGCCAGCTCAGGTGGGCAAAGAAAATCTGTGAGAGCTTTTATTTCTTTGAATTTGTTGTAAGAGAAATTACAAAAAATGTTTTATTATTGATTGATTATTATTGTATATTGTATCATGTTTACTATTGTATTATATATAGATACTACTGGGCAAGAGATGACTTGTATGTCCGTGTGGTAAATGCAGAGTTTTTGTATGGATATGAATATCTTGGTAACTCTGGTCGGCTGGTTATCACCCCACTGACAGACAGGTGAGGGTCAGATTTTACACTTTTTCCAACAAAACAAATCCTTACTTTGTTCTATAATTTTGTCCTAGATGTTACCTAACGCTAACAGGGGCTCTTCATTTGAAATTTGGAGGGGCTCCTGCGGGCCCAGCTGGTACAGGAAAGACCGAGACCACCAAAGATCTTGGAAAGGCCCTAGCAATCCAGACTGTGGTGTTCAACTGTTCAGATCAGCTCGACTTCAAGGCCATGGGGAAATTCTTTAAAGGACTAGCCAGGTTAAACACAGCCTAATACTAAAAATATTACTAAGCACAGTACACTTAAGTAGCTAAATTAATACTGTTTATTGTTTTTATTTCCTGACTTGTAGCTCTGGCGCTTGGGCATGCTTTGATGAATTTAATCGTATAGATGTGGAAGTGCTTTCTGTAGTGGCACAACAAATTACCACTATACAAAAGGCTCAACAGCAAAGAGTAAGACTGTTTTCTAATCAATATAGGCCTTGTAATAGCTATGTCTAAATAAATAGATATAGGTAATGAAGTAATAACTGATTTCAGGTTAAAAGCTTTGAATTTGAGGGGACTGAAATCACACTTGTTCCCTCCTGCGCTGTGTTTATTACAATGAATCCTGGATATGCTGGCCGCACAGAACTGCCTGACAATCTTAAGGTACAGTATACTGAGTTTCTTATACCACTCTAACATGTATAATATGTGTTATTATAACATACACCATATATTCCTAGGCTCTGTTTCGTCCTGTGGCTATGATGGTGCCCAACTATGCTATGATTGCTGAAATTTCTTTATACTCATTTGGCTTTAGTGATGCCAAAATCCTTTCAAAGAAAATAACATCTACTTTTAAGCTATCCTCTGAACAGCTTAGCTCACAGGTATGAACTTTATTATTTAATTAGCAGTTTAATACTATTGATAAGTCATTGATCAAATCATCATTTTTATTGCAATATTAATTTTAATAACGTTGTGTTGGGTCTTTGTAGGATCATTATGACTTCGGTATGAGAGCTGTAAAATCTGTGATTTCGGCAGCTGGAAACCTCAAGAGAGAACATCCTGAGATGAATGAAGTAGGTCATTTGGCTTCTGTTTCAATTCCTTAGTCCACCATTGTATTTTTATTTTTATTTTTTCCTGAAGGAGTTAATTTGTCTGCGAGCCATTAATGACGTCAATGTGCCAAAGTTTCTTCAAGATGACTTGAAACTGTTCAGTGGGATTGTGTCTGATCTGTTCCCCAAGACAAAACAGGAGCCAATCAGTTATGGAACACTGGAGCAATCCATGCGCAGTGTTTGTGTTGAGAGGAACTTGAAAGATGTTGATGGTCTGTGTTTTTAACAAAGGGAATCATAATTCAGATGTTTACAGAACACTGTTAATAAACCACTGATTTTTTTGTAGGGTTTATTCATAAATGTATTCAGCTTTATGAAACTACAGTGGTGAGACATGGCCTTATGCTTGTGGGACCTCCTGGATCCGGTAAAACAAGGGTAAGTGTTGTCACATTTTTAAATGAATTGTAAAGATTTTGCGTACAACATGTCATTTGTTCTTTTGTCAGTGTTATGAGATACTAGCTGCAGCCATAACAGCTCTAAAAGGCAAGCCCTCAGTGAGTGGTGGACAGTACGAAGCTGTTCAGGCATATGTTCTCAATCCCAAATCTATCACTATGGGACAGCTTTATGGAGAATATGACCTACTCACACAGGAATGGTAAAATAAAAACAGGAAATTACCCCTATAAAAGTTCAGGGAAAAAATATTTTGATTTGTCTCACATTTTAGGACAGATGGAATCCTTTCAGCTCTTGTTCGTGAAGGGGCATCATCCATGGACCAAGTGAAGAAGTGGTACATGTTTGACGGTCCTGTGGATGCTGTGTGGATTGAGAACATGAACACACAGTACTGGATGATAACAAAAAACTGTGCCTAAGCTCAGGGGAGATTATCAAGATCACAGATGTAAGGACAAATGCAGGTTTCAATATTCTGTCTTGTGCAGAAGAATTTTGAAATGACTCTCTAACTTTTCTACAGGTGATGACCATGATGTTTGAGGTGCAGGACTTGGCTGTGGCTTCCCCAGCTACAGTGTCCCGCTGTGGAATGGTCTACCTGGAACCTAGTATTCTGGGCCTAACTCCTTTTACAGAATGCTGGCTGAAGCAGATCCCTGATGCTTTAAAACCTCACTCAGACCAGCTTAATTCCCTCTTCTCCAGATTCCTCAAGGTTACATTTAGCAAATATTTTTTTATATTCTGATCATTTGTCCAGCATGCTAAATTAGCTTTTTGTGCAATTCTCCTAATTTGTAAAGTTAACTGTATGTTTCTTCCAGGACTCATTAAGGTTCGTTCGTGGACATGTTAAAGAGGTTATCACATCTCTTGACAGCAATCTGACATGCAGTCTTCTTAAACTTATGGATTGCTTTTTTGACCCTTTTAATCATAAAGAGGTAAGATGATTTACAGTTAACTAGTTACCTTTGCATTATTTGTCATTGTTATCATTGATGTGTCTACAAACTACTAATGTTTTAATGTGTTATTACAAAAGAATGAACGACCACTACCTCAGCATAAAGTGAAGCGCCTAAAAGAAGTGATTGAGCCCTGGTTTTTCTTCTCTCTGGTGTGAAGTGTTGGAGCCACAGGAGATGCAACAAGCTGTCAGCACTTCAGTAACTGGCTAAGAGAGAAAAATGGCAGAAGAGAATGTATGACATTATTGAAAAATATGATATGTAATAAACAAATAATATGCTCATTATGTTAATATTCCACTTCCAGATTGAGTTATGTTTTCCAGCTGGCGGTTTGGTTTACGACTACAAACTCAACGATGGTGGAATA